ACTCTCACTCACACACAGACACACACACTCCCTAACACACAGACAGACACACTTACTAACACACACATAGACACACTCTCACACACAGACACACTCACTAACACACACATAGACACACTCTCACACTCACACACACACACTCACACTCACACACAGACTCTCACACACACACACACACTCTCACACACACACACACACTCTCACACACACACACACACTCTCACACACACACACACACTCTCACACACACACACACACTCTCACACACACACACACACACACACTCACTCACCCACTCACACACACTCACACTCACACACAACACGATTACACACACTCATATATACACACACACACACACACACACACACACACTCACATATCCTTTGGGAATATCCGAGTCCTCGTTGCTCCCAGGATCGTTCTCCACGTGCTGCTTGATCTTCTCCTCCAGACCCGAAGCATCCGCGCCCTGATACTGGTCCAAACGCACTTTGTTTCGGAAGAACAGGAACGTCGGCGTCGCTGAGATGTTATTGGCTGCAGCTGTTGCCTAAGAGACGGAAAATAAAACATCGTAACTTTATTTCAGCATCACTGAGATACTATTAGAGCTTTTAGTTCGTTCTTATTTCTTCATTTTCATCCAGTTTAAGTTGTGTGTTTTCCTCAGGTTAATTCGGGGTTTTTTTTTTTTATATATATGTCTATAGAGTTTTCAGTTTTAGTTATTTTAGAGCATCCAGATAAACTGAATGAAAATGAGAAATGTCGTTTTGGCAACTAGCTGAAATAAAAGTGTTTTTTACAGCAAGAGGATTTTTTTTTCTCCCTAAAAATACTAGTTATCGCACTGGACTAAAACTTTCTGAATTTATTAAAAATAATCATAATTTTTGTATTTTAGTGGGATTTTTTCCCCCACCGTTGTTGACCGTCCTACAAAAAATAGTGTAAATCTCTCATTAACAAATGTTGGATTCAATCTTTTTATCAACTTGATTTCTTTCCGGCAGCACAGCTTTTGTGTTTCTTTTCAGAACTGATTGATTGTAGGCCTCAGTGATCTGATATTATTTTCCAAATTATGAAATAACATGAATTTGTCAAACGTTGAATAACAAGCGCTCTCTCACCTGACAAACATGGACGTCAACTTCCAGAAACACAACCTGAGGATATTTGTTGCTCAACATGTTGAACGCTGGAGCTATTCTGACACAAGGACGACAGCTGGACAGAGAAAAATCATCAGACACACACACACACACAGAAAAACAATGAGTGGAAATCATTTGCTATGTATAATTACAAAGAAACGGCAAGCAACATTGAATTCAATGTGAAATCTGGAAGTAGAAAGACTACAGTAGCATGTATATACAGTAAACAGTGGATCTCATAAACAAATACTTATAAATAATAAATAACCATGAATTCTAATTATAAATTATTAAAATACTTTTAAAATAAAAACAAATCAAAATCAAACACTTACTAAATTATTTAAATATTTTGTGTTTACTTGCATGTCATGTGAACATTAACCAACATGTGCATGTGATGATAAATTATAATAACTTAATATTTCAATTATTTGTGTAGTAAATATTTCAAGTTGGAACGGTTCAGTGCACCAAAACACAGGGTAAACACGGTACTTTCTGTAAGTGTGTGTGTGTGTGAGAGAGAGAGAGAGAG